CGGCACGCCTAGTAGCAAAACAGGATGTCTGCAATGCAGATATACGCTTGCTCTAATTGATCTAAATTGACATTAAAAGTAAAAAAATTAACTTTTTAAAAGAATCTAGAACAGTTTGCTTGCAGGAAAACAAAATCATCATGTTGGAGGAGGGAGGGGGAATTATTGTTAGCGGTGCATCGGGAGGTGCCTACGTATCGTCCCTCTTTCCCGAAAAAAAATTTTTTTAATGTTAATTAGAGACTTCATACACTGCTCGACATATAAATGCAACACAAAGATGGAGTGGTCAGAAATTTATGCAAATTTTAGAGTAGACGCACGTCACTGAGTTATGCGAATGATGTGAAATGCGCAGCTCTCCGACGCACGTGAAGTAAGATATAAGGGAAGGAACGTGCAGAATGGGCAATATTCGTGTCGTTTATTTCTGCCAGACGAATTATCGAAGAAAGTTCGTTTTTCTTCTATGGTGATCGAACTGAGAAGGGCGGGTTGGTTCTTACGTCAAATCGCAGCTGATACCCACATGGATGCGAGCACGGTGCATCGGCTATGGCGAACATGGTTGGAACAAAGAAATGTGGGAAGAAGGAGGGGTGCAGGTGCAGCCAGAGTGACGTCAGCATGCGTGGTTCGACACATCCGCGACAAGCTGTGGCGGTCCCGCAAGTCACTTGTACCGCGATTCTGCAGCATGTGCAAGATACCCTGGATGTTCCCGTGTCGACCAGAACTATTTCCCGTCGACTGGTTGAACGTGGCCTGCACTCACGGCGTCCGTTAAGAAGACTGCCATTGACCCCGCAGCATAGACGCCGACGTTTAGAATGGTGCCAGACGAGCGATGTGGATGATAGAATGGCGAAACGTCGTGTTCTCAGATGAGTCACGCTTCTGTTTATCCAGTGATAGTCGCCGCATACGTGTGTGGCTTCGACGTGGAGACAGATTTAATCCGGCAGTAACTGTGGAACGCCCCACCGCACGACAATGTGGCATAGTGGTTTGGGGTGCTATTGCCTACGATTCCAGGTCACCTCTAGTTCGTATTCAGGGCACTATGACGGCCCAACGATACTTGGATAATGTACTGCGGCCGGTAGCAATCCCCTACCTTCAGGGGCTGCCTAAAATTGTTCAGCAGGATAACGCCCGACCACACAGTGCTCGCCCCTGCCAACATGCTCTGCAAGATGCTTCCCTGGCCACCGTACTCTCTTCACCTGTCACCAATCGAACATGTGTGGGATGTGATTGGACGCCGTTTGCAGACTCTGCTCCTGCCTCGTTCAGAAGACGAACTGTGGCAAATGGTTGAAAGAGAATGGAGAGTCATCCCTCAGGATACCATCCGCACTCTTATTGACTCTATGCCTAGACGTGTTTCTTTGTGCAATGCTGTCCGCGGCGGTTCTACATCCTACTGAGCCGACGCCGTTCTCGCTCTGTTCTCGACTATCATTTTGAAATAAAGATCACTTATTGCTGCTTGCTCTCTCTGTCTTTTTTCCAAATTTCATCACTTTCTGACCATTCCTTCTTGGTGTTGCATTTTTAATGTCGAGCAGTGTATAAATAAAAGCTGTAGCAAATCTGAAACCACAATAAAAGATAAGGCTAAATATATCAAAAAAGTATTCAGTGCTGTAACGCAAGTGTGTTTACATTAATTTTACTTTTTAAGGGTGCATTAACAAATCCGCTGCTTTTACCTTTGGTTGATAGATGTTAAATCAGTCTTGAACCTCTGTCTTGTTTTTGTCTGTTTCCTGCTTTGTTAAAAATTACATTCTAGTTTATTACCCTTTCTGTGAAGTATTAGGGAAGCTCTGCAAGAAATGAAATATCGTAAGCAGGAACGGATTAGCCTGGTGTCACCGACACGGCCAATTTGCATACAATTTCCAGCACCTTTTTCCAAGTTGACTACTGTTTGTCAAAGCACACCCCTTGTTTGTGCACCCTATGAAATTCAGTGTATAACTTGAAGTATGAAACCTTTATCAAGATGCCAAGACGCATGTGTCAAGATCTAAATGAATATTCGCCGAAATTTTCGGATCTTTTTGCAAGTTGGCAGTTGTTCGCTAAGAGATAATATAATAGGTGCCAGCCTTTTGAAGTTCAGTTAATACCTTGAACAATGCAATTTGCATCAAGATTCCGAGAAGCCCATGTGAAGATCTAAGTGAATAGTTGATGACTTGCATAAAAGGTGCCTCCGTCGTAATGAAATGGTCCGGATGGCAAGACACAAAAAATTTCCGCTTTTACGGTATGGAGTAAAGAACTAAATCCATCAGTTTTGAATTTGCGGTTGCTAACGATGACGGGGTTAAGACGAAGAGTTCATACGTTTAACACAAATTATTTTTTAAAATTTTTTATCATTTACACCAGAGATGCTATTAATCTCAAAACGCGACACGAACATGGACAAATCGAAGCCGAAATTTTGAATTTTGAATTTGTTTTTGATTTATTTCATATTTTGTACAAATTTAATGAATATTTGTGTAACAAACTTAGCGATTTGAAAATAAACAATTGCAACACTGTTCGAAATAAAACATTTTTATCTCCACCGCGCCAGACTGTTGTCATTCGCCAAAATATAAGATATCTTTGTTTTAATTGACAAATTTGGCTATTCGAAAATAATGCGTTACCACTGCTTTAAATAGAGTATTTATTATCTCCTCGCACCAGCTTGTTGCCATTCAGTAAAGCATAAAATATTTAACTATTGAATAGCAAGCCAACTGAGCAATATACGCAGTTCTTAAAAATACTTTTTAATCTGATTGTTTTAAATCATGAGAAAGGAAAATGCATTTAGATCATGAAATGTCTAACTAAGAATATTAAATATTTTTAAGAAATGACACTAGCTAGTCATTATATACTATTTTTTTTTATCATAAATCTTTCAGGCGGTTGGCCATTCGAACGGTTAGTTTTTAAAGAAATAATATGGAGAGTATAAAAAAATACGTGGCAACTCCTAACACTCTATCGGAAATTTTAAAAATTTGTTGTTTTTAGCCCAAATTAACGTTAGCACAGAAGGGCTATTAATTTCGTTTTGTTATTTTGCATTGATTCACTTTTCAAGCTATTGCTACCAAATATTATCGCCCTATGTTATATTTAAAAAAATTAAATAATGAAGAATCTGCATAAATGTATGCATGTTTCACGCATTGAGATAAAACAACGGTACCTAGAGCCATCAAAGATTGAATAACATAATCTTCCACCGAATATGAGCATCTGGAAGTCCTAATTTTGAATTTGCTTTATTATCGATTTCATATTTAGTAACACTTTAACGAATTTTGGATTAACAAACTAAACGATTTCAAAGCGAGCAATTGCGACACTATACGGGGAAAAAAAAAAAAAAAAAAAAAAAAAAAAAATGCATTTTATTTTACGAAATAAGTGCGAAGAACATGATATTTAATAAATAAAGGTAATACGGAAAACGTTAAAAACGCTCCTTTGGGCGCATTGTAAAATCTTGAAAGCCTTCAGATTTTTTTTTAAAAATATTTTGTAATTTTGCTCTTAAATTTTATGTGGCGTGAGTGAGAAGAAAGCAGGGCTTTGCAGTAAAGTTAATAATAATGTGATAGCAGAAGTCAGTCAAAGAGCATATAGCTAACCTGCAGTGCTCAGCGAGAGCGTAAAAAAACCTTAACACATCCACTGGTGCGATATTAAAATCTGAATCATTTCAGATTTTCTTTTTTTTTCATTTTATTTTTATTTTTAGTATCGTTGAAGCTTTTTCGGTGTTACGAATTATTACGTCGACCGTTAGTAGAAAATTTGGCAACGGTCTCCAATCGTTACTGCGGAATTCTGAAGAACATAATTGGCTCTATTTCGCGCTACCTGACCGGTTGACGAGATAATACGTATGTACCGCTTTTTGTTTCTATAAGTTAATTGCTTTTTGTTTCATGAAGCCGGTAATTAAGATTAACGTGTCATTCGTTTCTAAAGCATGGATATGACAAGGTGAACTTAACGGCCACCGGCATCTCGGGAAATTTCCCGAATTCCTGACAGCACCATTCGCCTTTGCTCTCAAGGATACTGCGCGAGCAACTCCTCAAGCTGTAGCAGAAAGTAACGGAATAACTGTCTTGTTCTCAAGGAACATATAAATCTCATGTTCATTATTCGAAAGTAATAGCAGGGTATCAGTTAAAAGATCTGCGTTAAATAACCTTAAGCTCATGCAGGAAAATCTGTGTAGAAACTAATCTTAGAATATCTCTTGGAATCAATATACAAATTTTGATTCCAAGAGAGATAATTTTGATTCCGAAGTTTGTTCAACTGATTATGGCAAAACAAGCGAGAGCTTGAGTGAAACAAATCATATTTATCTTAGATATAGGGAAAACATGAAAACTCTGTGTGACGAGCCCGTTCACCAAGAACTAAACCTAGAACAAATTGCCATGGTTGAATTGTCTTACACACTGGGCCATTCGTAAGCCAAAGCAAAGTAATATTTTGGCAGTGAATAAATCCAAAAACTCTACAAAGACAGCAGATTTGATCAATTATGGCAAAGCACGCGATAATTGCCCACCTAAAAGACAGGACTTCACTGAGGACTTTCTTAACGGCTGCTACTCACGTTACACATAGACGAAACTATAAAAACGGCCATGTAGTCAAACCCGTTCTTTTAGATTCGAAACCAGGGGAAACTGTTTATATTCACCAACTTTAGCTTTTGGGCATCCACAGAGATGATCAAGTCCATCAATAAAATGAATTTAGAATCTATTTCCCAACCTTACTAAAAGATTTAAAACTGCAACTTAAGTAATGAAAAGGGAAGTTTTCGTTGTTTTAAAAGAATAAAATATATCAGCGCCATTCAGAAGTAAATTTAAAGACTGTTTATACTTTCCTTTAGCTAAGTAGTTCGTGTGTGATTAATTCACAAACTGTTATACTATAAAGGGAAGAAATTCAGTGAAGGTTTAACATCACGCCCTACTAGCTAAGTTCTCCGATCGTTATGTTAATTCAGGTTTCAACAGCAATCTGTGTCGACTGCATCCCAGTATGAAACTGCCAATTTTTCGCCAAGTGACTGAAGCTTTGGCTGAAGAAAACAAGCATTGGATCCCCATTGGAGGAAGGACCAATGTCATTTGAGCTCATTTATAATGGTTACTTCATTAACATAACGTTAAGAACTTCTCTGTAGTTCGGTATCTCTACTTTGAATGGCATGGCGGAAGGTAGGCACCTGTGGACTTATTCGGAAACTATGGCTTTGATAGACGCATGGGAGAAAAGATACAACCTTCTAAAAGGCCAGAGACGAACTGCACATCTTCATGAAGAAATTAAACAAGTTCTGCATTCCAAGAATATTCAGAAGTCCGTTCGACAAATTGTTATAAAAATAGACAACTTGACTCAAAAATACAGGTAAGTATTTTATTAAAACACGTATTTTTAAATGCATCTTAATTTTGAGCGGAAGCAGTATTCTAATGTAACAAAGACTTATGCTTAATTTCTTTCCCGTTTTGATGGCATGATGTACTAAATTTACAAGCATTTAATCGAATTTTGAATTAAATTAATGAACATGAATTTTAATTAATATGTAGCATAAATTTTCATAATTTTACTTTTTGAATTTATTTGTAACGTATATTTGCACATTTTCTGTGAAACGAATGTTGCATGGTATGTTCTACAAGGAAGCAATTTAATACTTTCGCTGACGAATATCTTATTGATGTTCATCTCAAAGAATAAGAAAAAACTTTTAACAGGTATGGTGAAAATATTTCCTTAACTAGCATGTTCTGTTCCTACTAGGATCCGTAACTAAAATTATATTCATTGCAAGTTTTCCCGAACACATAATCATTTATATGTAGAAATGATTACTAACTTCATTTAAAAATAAAATACACTTAACATTTTTCCCGAAAATGGTCAAGGTACCCAGTTATACATGATACTTTACCAGATAAGCAAAGAAATCGGTGCTTCAATGTAGAGGCTTATGTTCTCGTAACATATGAATCAAAGGTTAAGAGTTCAAACATACATTTCAATATAACTGTTAAAATGGGAAGTTTGGTTTAACTGCTAAAATTAAGAGCAACTGTATCAAATATTTACTTCGGATATCCGTTTTAAGAGTAAAAACATCATGTGTAAATAATCATTCAGCAGTAAAGCATTAGACAATGTGGCGTAAAAATGGAATTTTAAAAAGAAATTGCGTTAAAGGTTAGAATAATTTAAATCTGAATGAATATTATTAAAAGTCCTTTTTCTCCGAATTAATGATTAAATGTTTCCGAAATAATTCGGTCATTATAAGTCACTATAATGATTTACGTAGATTCAGTTTAAATAAAAGTTATCAATTCTAATGCCATTGCAGTGTAAAGAATTCGTTTAAAACTTCCTGTATCTAGGCTTTTGTGACTTTGTGAATTTTGCACTCCTGAATGTTGTCTGTCATTTTATGTTCTGTTCGGAAGTTTCAAATTTAAGTTACCGAACTGAAAGCGAATTTTCTTTTAATCTTGTTTTATTCTTTATTTGCTTCATCAGATTCGAAATTCTATTAAATATTATATTTTGAATTAAAAGCAATATTAGCAACGCCATTTAATAAGAAATAAAATTTTTCCTAATTTTTTGCTATGAATTTAAAATTGATCTTAAAATACAACACAATTTTGTTATTACTTTTTCACCTCTATTCCAAATTAATAGCGTGATATAAAATTTATGAAAGGAGTTAAATGGCTGATTTCGTATTATTAAACGTTTTAGGTATACTTATTATAAAATAGCATGCAGGTATAATATCTTATGAAAATTGCGTAAATGCTAGTTTTAAATATGTCTTTCTATAGAAAGAGATATTTAAAACTTATTTTACCACATTTTTGTAGACTACCAAAACTTTGAAAATTCAACCGTCAAATCGATTTATTTTGAGTCACGCTTAGTTCTAAACTAGTATGCTTAGGCAAAATGAGTATTGGTTGAAATCCCGATATCTGACAAAAGTATGAACAATGCTTAAAGATTTTACAGTTATACTTGAAATGATTAAACGTGTTTTGTATTGTAATGTTTTTATTTATTAAAAAAAAAAAAATAGTTTAGGGTACTCTTCTGTTATCGGGACCGGATTCAGCAATGTATGTATGTACGGATTCGTGTTCGTGTATGTATGCGTATACAGAAACATACATAAGTACTTATATATAGTATATATATATATTTGAAGCATAGAAGTAGAATCAGCTTGCAGTCGTTGTGGCTTATGGTGAAAGCTTACAGATGAAGATAACAAAACATGAAGAATTTCCAATCTTAATGTCCGCGGATATAAAATCATCTCCTAATAGAAAATTTCCAATCTTAATGTCCGCGGATATAAAATCATCTCCTTCGATATTTATTCAATCATAATAAAATCCGATACATTTCTATGATTCAGTCATAATGAAATATGATAAATTTCTCTGTACATTGGTTTTTAACAAGAAATGACGCAGGCATTTTACAGTCTCATTATTATTTCAAATTACGGCAAAATCTCGAGGGCTATCTGCCTAAGGGGAGGCATTTTACAGAAGCGAGGAGATATTAGCAGGGTGGAAGCTAGGAGAATAATGACGTAATTATTGTGCCAAGAGTATTTATACTAAGTCTGAGGTACAAGTAGAATTAATCTGTGATTGGTTAATATTAGTTTTAGTTGCCTTTTCCAGAAGCGTTACATAACAGAACATAGAATATTCTCGAATTTGGGAGAACAGATGGATTTAGGGAGAGATCACCAAATCTAGAATGTTGATTTTGAGGTCGCCAATTCTTTTTTAAGCAGCTATCGTATTTTGTTGTATTTTACACACGCACATACACACACACACACACACACACACACACACACACACACACACACACACATATATATATATATATAAACTTAAAGCATCTATATATATGCATACATGAGCACATACATCCATACATACATACGTGCGTACGTGCGCGCGCACATTTTTGAATCCGATCCCGATAACAGAAGAGTATTGTTTTGGATAGTTTTCAAAAAACATTTCTCAAGCGGGACAATATAGTCTCTTCTTCTTATTTATCAAATTTTTCTTTGGCGCATGAATGAAAATACATACGTTTGCACGTAGATAATTATAAATTTCTGTATTTTTTACTACAGCTTGACATTTGATAGCATTTTGATTCAGATAAAAGTCCTTAGGCTTAGAGAGCGAATTATCTTCACCACGAATTGTAGCTGCTCATCAGTCAGTCGGATTCTTTTTAACTTTCAGTTGTGGAGGAAAAAAAATAAATCTGTTCACATATGTGTGAGTTGTGTTGTAACTTATCTCACTTTCCTGACAGTGACATCAAAACGAGCCGAAGAAATTCATCGTGGCAAAGAAAGCAAGATTGCGCCTGTCGTTGGTAAGGGAAGCCTTTAGAACTATACAGGTAATGGTATGACTTCGCTCAGTTTCGCCTCCAATTTTGAAGGAGAGCATCCCGGGTGGGAAGGGGTGATGGTCTCCAAGCCCTCTTACCCTACTACCAACGTTTCGGCTCGCAGCATATTTAGAGTGCCCCCATGCCGCACAAACACTTATACATTTACGAACACCCATGCCTCTCCTGGATTCGAACCCAGGCCCTTCAATATGGCAGTTAGCTTCCCTAACTACTATACCGTCTGGGCGGCGTTGTTCACATCTAAATGTGTTAACAAACAAAGCGATTATTCTCAGCATAAAAATATTATTAATTTTTTGACGAGTACGAATGAAAATGAAATCTGTAACTTCAAACCTTTTCAATAAGATTTGTATCACATAGTAAATTAGTTAGCTCTATTTATAGATTTTCTGCATTAATTCATGTTCGTTTTTAATGGAGATGAAAAGATTATACACTTGGACTTCAAACAAAATCTTCGCAGCATCGTGTTTGCAACGAATACTTAACTAAAATGCAGAGTCGTAGCTAGGGTTTTCAGCGCCCAGGGACAACTGAAGATTTCGCGCCCCCAATTGCTTGCCAAGGATGGAAAACATTTAATTCTAAATTGTGGTAACATCAGTTTGGCGCCCCTTGGATTCTGCGCCCGGGGACAGATGCCCCCCTTGCCCCCGTCTAGCTACGCCCCTGCTAAAATGTCTTCACCAGTCGCATAAAATTGCTTCTGGGCCACCTGTTTGAGACTACTGAGTTCTAGGTTTCTAGGTGATTTCTAGACCACTGAACATACATTCTACCTGGTGTAATTTATAGCCGGATTGGGTTGCAGGCAGAGACTTGGACACTTACCATGTTTTTTAGTTAGCTATGAAATTATGCCTCTACGCAAAATCACGGGCTAAGAAGTTAACAATAAAAACACAGAGAAGTTACTAGAAGAAGAAGTGAATGAGTTCAACAAGAAAGAACTACAACAGTTTCAGAAACAGAAACAAAAGGTAATTTTGCATGAAGTGTCTTCAGAAGAAGAGAAAGAAAGAAAAATGATCCTTTGTCCTCTGATCCCCGAAATTTGTGCAAAATGGGAAAGACGCAAAATTTCCACGTTACATAAGCAACAACAAAATGACATTAGACAAATTTTGAGTGAAACAGAGGCCCACTGAGTCTCAATCAGACTCGAGTGGCACTTAAAGAAGCCCTATCTCGCTGTGGGGGGAGGGGAAAAGAAAATTAAAAAAAAAAAAAAAAACAATTCCCTAATATTTTTATGGAAGAAATTTCGCGTGCATACAGCAATATCCTCATCATTTTCTGCTTATGCCATCAACTCTGCTTTGTACAGTTACATTAAAACTGAATTAAGTTTTAGTCAATTTTATCTGTTTAATAATGTGTTATCTTTTTTGTTTAACATATAATGATTTTCATTTTTGGTTGTGAACTTTCTTTATGTCCATTTATGTTCCGTTATAGTGTTAGGAATGAACCTTACGCACAAAATGTTGCAGTAAAGTTTAAAGGGTACGTACGATATTATCTACGGCGACCACTTTTTTCGCGGGCTAGTCCGGGACATTGACCCCCATTCAACCAAAAAAATAAGTATTTAAAAAATTTAATAAATGAAAACTGAGCATACAAATACAATCAAAAAATAATTCAAAGTATAAATACTTCGTACAAATGATTAAATGCAGTTTCAAACGGAATAAACCTTTTTATTTGGTTTATTGCACTTTTCAATTTTTTCTTTGAACTCTGCGCAAGTATTGCATGCACTTAATTATAGACATTGTTTTCATAGTATCAACGTTCAATTGCGGTTTTTATGTTATCCATAAATTGTTCATAGTAAAAAATATCCTTTCAGTAGCTGCATTGGTACCACGTAATCAAAGCACGAATTCTATAGCTTTAGTAAGATGCACAGAATGAATATGATTTTCATTGAAATAATTTAAAATTTGAATCTGATACTTATCGGTGGGTATTTCTTCATTATTCCATGGTTGAAGTTTTTTGAAGTTTGTATATCTTTTCAAATATGATTTTTCGTCGAATATTTCAATTTTCAGTGTCATATATTCGTTTTCAGGCAATCTTTTTTTATGAAAACTATTGTTTCTTCTATTTTGGTCCAATCTATTTGACACTTTAAATTAATCCGTATAAAATGAGTAATTCGCTGAAATCGTTTGCTTTCATAATTCCAGATAAAAAAATACTCGTATAAAATTATAATTTGATTAATAAGCTATTTCTTGTCTATAATTCCATTTGAATTATATTGTTTAAACTCGGAAGTAGAAAAATATAATGGTTTCTTTCTTTAAATTTAAAAATAAGATAATTAGTTTCTTCTGAAATTTCGGCAACTGTTAATTTTTCTCCTTCCATTCTTTTTACTGAAGTATGAAACACTGATGCCTGTGTTTAGAGAAATTGAAGACAACGTTCAATTTGTTCATTTAAAAAGAAATTTTTTGAAACTATCGATCAGTTATTAATTGAAAGAAAAATATCACTTTAAAAAATTAAACAACTGCAACACTCTTCCAGCTGTGGCAGTAGAACTAGCCATCTTGTTTTGGATAGCAGTAGCTTCCATTCTTGCTCTGCGTCAGCACTAAATTCCTTCAGATTTTCCTCTCGAAGTGTGTAAACATAAAAGTGACTAATAAATTTTGCCATTTATTCCTTCAAAATCTACGGGAAAGAAATCTAATGCAGTTTAAACTGCATTGTGGGTTATGTGGGCTACGCAGCCTACTCTAGTTGCTGGGAGATTTAGTTGATTATACAATCGGGAAAACACGATATTTGTTCCTTTTCTATTAAACACCTCCAAATTTTGAACTGGTATTGTCTACACAATATCCCACTAACTTCTTTGTCAAGTTGTTTGAATCCAACCAATCTATAATGGACATGTGATTATTTCCCATGTTTTTTCTGGAAGAATGATTAAATTAAGAATTTTAACTTGAACACTGTCTTTTTGGTCCAAATATCTAACGAAACAACTTTAGATCTTTGTGGTTTGAAGTACTTGTGCAAATGTTTAAAATCCTGGTGTTTTTCGAATTCGAAAATTTTCAAATTAGATTTTCAGAGTGGAAATTGCGAAGGGTTTAATTACATTTTTAACTATTGCATCGGTTTTTGTACTTACACAACAAAATTTGCTTTCAAAAATACTTTGATTAATTTTGAGGTACAATCCATAGATCTAAACGACTTAATGTGCGCGACTGCATAAAAAGAATACTCTGCTTCCGTCGGTGAAAGTCATCGCTTCTCCTTATTTATCAGAAACATTTAAGTTCGGTGATCTTCGGGCCACTTGCAAACAACTTGATCATTGAGTCTAGCGCGACCTATGCATCGGTTTGGGATGTTCTCGTTTAGAAACCCGGAACCATTATGCAAATGTGGCGGCAGTCCATCTTGTAGAATGTAGTCATCTCTCTGCAGTAAATTGAGGAATCAACCAATCATTTAGCCATGTTAAGCAACTTTCACTTGTAATTGTTTGTTTCTGAAAGGGAACGAACTGCACACCCAACGCTCTGATGCAGCACAAAACGCATTCATTTTGGGAGAGTCAGTTTCTACATCTAGAGTGGCATACGAATGCTCGGTTCCCCAGATCCTGACATTAAACATTAACCTTTCTACTTGAATGGAAGGTCGAATCATCGCTGAAAATTATCTTCGTCAGAAGGGTTTCATCGTCCTCCATTAAAAATTGAATAGTCTTGCAAAACTCACGTCGCTTTACCTTGTCTTGTGGGTACAGCCTTTAAACCAACTGTAGCCGGTACGGGTGAAACCCCAAACACCTGGGTAAAATCTTGCTCTGTTGTTTGTGAATACGTGCAACTTCCTGCTAACTTTACGTGTAGACTTATCTGGGCTTCATACAAAGACTTCTCTCACGCGCTTCACAATTTTCTCTGAGAAGAAAGGTTGGCCAGAATGTCCTTTTCTTTTATCAGAAATACATTTTGTCTTACTAAACGTTTTATGCCATTTCAAAATGGATTTTTGCATAGGTCGATCAGCATTAAAGTTTGGTTTGAACACACGCTCAAGGAAAAGAAATGAAAATTTTTTTTTTAGTTAACTGAGTCGTTGATATCACATTTATCAACATCTTAAAATAACTGTTAATTTTATAACACCTTGAAATCAAGGATTGATATTATTGATATATTGCGCTCACTTTGTATATCACGTGGCCAGTGCAGATGTGACACTAGGTAAGAGACTTACTAGCTGAGCCTTGAGCAACAACGATATGTTGTCGTTGGCCACGGTTGACGTCAGTGCTTTATTAGTGCTGCGTAGCTGTTACGCTGTGGCAGCATAGACCGATTTAGTTTGGTGACTGGTAGAAAAATTTCATGCTGACCTCGCATCGAGGGCACGTTGACATAATAGCAACACGGTTGCCGATATGTCACTCCAAAGGTATAAAAATGTGCTTCACATAGCATTTCATAAGTTGCCCAAAACCGCCAGTGCAAGGCTCAAAAATAACTCTCTGTACGTGGAAATACTATGCAAAACTAAGTTTATTTTGACGAATATTTAAAATAATTATTAATTCGGGGACTGGGACGCGTGTCCATATGGGACGCAGAGCAAGTATCCAGGACGAATGGTCATCCAACGTATTATCTTATCGACTGTGAAAATGTTGCCAGACAGCGCAATTTAGCGCCAGTTATGGATAAGCGTGACATCATAAAACACACTCATGAAACCCGCACTTTCGTTTTATATAATCTCGACTGATTCTCGATAAGCCACATTTTTTTTTTGTGAACGGAAATATGAATTAACTATTATTGCTGTAATTGTTCTTGCATTTAAAATAATATTAAAAAATTTGGAAAATGCCTTCTACAGAACAACAGGCAATTTTTTTCCCAAGTTATGGGATCCTACCATAAAAAAAGTATGCATTAATGAATACGATATAGTCAGATAAGTATAGCTGATGAAACAATAATAGATTGGAACCTAATAATAGACTGGAACCTGCGACAAAGTTTGTAGTCGCAGCATTTCTAAACATCGCTTCTGTTCATATCGGAGGTCCAGGTCAAACAGTAGAAATCGACGAAAGCCGATTTAGGAAGCGCAAATGCAAAGCAGGTCAAATACTTATTTATTAAATAAAAAGGTGACAATTCTTTTATATAATTGTGTAGAAACGATTGGCGCAGCTTTGGCGGGATCAACGCCATCTTTCATGGTTCGAAGGTATCAACTTTCTCGGTTGAAGGGATAAAACGTAAATACCGTTTAAATAAGTAATTATCTGTGGTTCGGAAACGAATTGCCATTTTACATTAATTCCACTGGTGAAAATTGCTTCGTTGATGACCTTCAGAAACTAATTGAGTTTGTGAACCGAGATTTTACTGTATTGGTATGGTCCACCAGTAGCCGAGCGGTAAAATCGTTGAAGACTGGTAGTTTTACCTGGGTTCTATTCTAGGGAACGAGTTAGTTGCATGGGCATTTTCGTGGTTTTCACCATGTGTAGCGTGTAAAAGAGCCAGTTTGTCTTAGAAGATCCTCCAAAAAGGCATCACTTCCTTTAGGCAAATATTTATCGCATACTTTGCCATGATTAAGTAAACCAAACTCAAACTGTAAGAATTGTAAGCAAACTGTGTTTTACAAGAATGGCAATTACTACTTTCTGATGCGCTGCATACCTGGCTGAAGGAATGAAACAATGAAAACTTGGGTTGGAGTTGGAGAATGTCATACTCCCTTATTTAAGGCTTGTTTTTTTGACTCGGACGAATTAAAAATTTTTTGCCGACTAATTTAAGTAAGAACTTTAGGAAATAAAAATACGCCTATGTTTCTTTATTTTTATTCTCATGAGTAAGTAATTTAATTTATATGAAATCTGAAATAATGACGACTTTTTTGAAGTCAAATTTATTGCTAGTGACTGGAATGTAACCTATTATTCCAAATATCTTTATCCAATATGTCATTTATCACGCAGTTTATAAGCAAGCTTTAGATAATCTACGTAAATTAGTTTATCTAAAGTTTATTATGAACTGCATGATAATGACATTATCATGTCGCACTTGTAGTAGATTTTGTCAAACTAATTTGACATTTCTACAAATGTTAAAGATTTAAATACATGTCTAGCATTTTCATGAATGTTACTTCTTCTTTGTAGGAAGACACTTCCGAAATCGAATCCTTCGTGGATTTACTTTAAACGGCTGGACAAATTCATGAGGGGTACGTCAGAAAATACTGAAGAAGCTATTGTACATATGAAATCGGAACGATCGTCTTCAGATCAGCCAGAATACACTGATGTCTCAAATGAAGCCTATGGCAGTCATCAAAATCTTGCCAACATTTCTATTTTGAACGTTGAAGGGAATGCGGCAATGAGACAGTTCGAAGGACCTGGGCATTATTTTCATAGCAAAGGAAAGCAAAGACACTACCTCAACGAAATGTTGAGCATTATTTATAGGCAAATAGAAGTCCAGAAGCAAGCCATCTGCATTCAAGAGAAGTTTGTTACTATGGTATCGCAGATGATAAACGATTCTTCCAATGACTGAAAGTTTCAAAGTTTGAGACGTAAATTCTTGTAAGCAAGGAATACTTACTCATTCTTCATAGACGGAAACTGTTTTCATTATTTCGAAGGCCTTTTTGAAATTTCATTCTTTTGCTACAATATTTGAATGATTTAGTGCATTTATTATCATAAAACGGTTGTAAATGATGATAATGTTTTACTTTCATTTTACGTGCATGTGAGCAGAAGGCTGACTGCTTTTGAAGATATTAGTTACAATACGATTTTGACATTCTTGCATTTACTTTATTTATTAAACTAAAGAATAATATACTGCAAATACTTGTGACATGATAGCAGTATATTAGTTATATTAATAGTTTATTGCGGGTTAATATTTTCTAAAGTGTGTATAATTGCTCAAGAAGAAAATGAGCTTTAAATTAAATATTCTCATTACGTAACATTATTAACCATTTAATAGTATATGTCAGTTAAATGAAGTTTGTCTTTATAATGTATGTAGAGATTGTTTTGGAATAAATCTTTCATATTACGATCATTTTCTCCCTGATTTTCAATGTAGTTAGAATATGGATGGAGCTTGTGATAAAATTTATTATTTAATGAGATTTTCACTCTTATTCGCTTATTAAATTCAACTCTTAAATTTGTTAAGTAAAAATAAATAAATAAATAAATAAATAACAGTCGAATGAAAAGCTCGTAACAAATTTAACAGTATTTATTTAAAGTAATGGCGAAAATTCTGAAAAGCATGTAAGTTTATCTTTTAAAGTATGATTATTTGTTTCTACGTACATTTGTTTCACTGAATATTCTGAGAAAAAGAATTTATAATTTTTATCAAAAATGGATCAGACGTGTAACAGAACAGTGAAACATATGTCTGTTTATTACAACCGAGAATACGAAATTATAACTTTGGGTAAGTGGGGCAATATCTAATATGAAATTAGCCAAAAAAGCCATCTTAATTTTAGTTTACATTTTGAATAAAACTTTAGCGACTTCGAGGGGAGTCCAGAGGAAAAAAAAAAAAAAAAAAAAAAAAAAAAAAGAAGAAATTAATTGGTATGATTTTCTGCCATTTAAATGCCTAGTTGGGTTTGAGTTTATGGTAAAGCATAGTAGAATATTCTGCCCTGAGGAAGGTTTGCTTTAGTGAAAAACTTTCTGAGGCAAACTGACTCGCATTCACTTGAAGTGTACTGGTTTGGTTTATATCAGGGTTTCTTAAACTGTGGGTCGAGACCCCCAAGGGGGTCGCAATACCTGCAGCAGGGAGACGCCAAAATTTAAATAGTTTTGATACTTCTTTAACTTATAATAATTTTACAATTACCAAATATTTTTACACAATGTATTTGAAAATAGATAAAGATAAGACAATACAAACAAAGAAAAAAAAAAAAGAAAACGTTTCGACGAATTCTTTTTACAATATAAACGTTCATTTTTCTTGCTTTGCACGTGACGCTGTTATTTCGCCTGTTACTTATTTAAAATTTTCACATTGTTCTATGTCTTAAAATTAGAAATTAAGGTTAATGACCTAAAACTGCAATAGTATAATTATAGTACAAGTGAAAAAAAATGACAATTTCACTCACGCGTGTGTCGAATTTGCGCAATACTTATGGGGTCCCACAAAATTTTTGTAAATATTATGCGGTCCTGGGGGTCATGAAAAAATATCAGTTATAAAAAGGGGTCGCGACTGAAAAAAGTTTAAGAAACCCTGGTTTATATGATTACGGCAAAGGCTCGAAGGCTATCTGCCTAAGGAAAGGTATGCGTTCTTGGAGGACTTTCTAAGGGAAGTTGGCTCGTCTACACGTAACACTTAGGGAAAAGCCCGAAAACGCCCATGCAGCGAGCCCGTTCGCGGGATTGGAACCTCGGACCGAATTACCAGTGTTCAGCGGCTATACCGCTCGGCCGCTGATGAAAGTATCAGCTGTAATTCGCTTTATAATTGATTCTTAGTATAACCTGAAATTTACAAGGCTATATTTTTATCCATAAGGTACAACTTAAGTATTGGTAAACAGTACATCATATCCCATTTACGAGTATAACAATGCATCTATACTCCAAATTTAAGAAAATATTTATTAAACTTAATAATTACAAATTTATATTATTTTTAATTTTGAATAGTTATACATCTGAAGCATTTTATTTTTGTTAGCTACTACATTTACTATTTATATTATGTCTAATTTAAAATTAAAATAGCAACGTAGATAAATTTATATATTAGCTTGGAACTTTCACTAAAAGTTGTACAACTTACCTTTTATGCATACATCGTGTCTATAATTCTTTATGCGAACATATTTTCGCAGCGTTGGTTGTAGACATGTACTTCCAATTACGTAACTACATACGTTTTTTTTAATTGCACAAATATTCATGTTCTGATGTTTGCAAACTAAAAAAAATCTGATGTGAACACACACGACCTTGTATGGCCTATTAAGTTATACACTTATTTTTTTTTTTTTTTTTTTTTTTTGGCTGCACTTCACTTAAACTTTTTTCCTCGAATTATTCCAACTTAATTAACCGATCCCTCAAGGAAATTTGAAAATGACATCAGAAATTGCAAATTTTGAAATTAAATATCCTTGTCAATTTTTGTAGTACTGGAGTCAAACTTCTTATAGTTTTATTTTTTACAACAAGTATAAAACTTTCCCAAATATAAGTATAGGAGCCGAGAGAACGCATTAAATGTTAGATCTCATTATTTGCCAAAAATCAATTAAAAAAATTGTTATTGCCAAAACATGAATGTTTTCGTCATTTAAAACGCTTCCGTAAGTGGAAATCTATGACTACGACCAAAGATTGCAAAAATAAAGGCCGGGTAAGGGCGATATAATCAATTTTGGGAAAAAAGTCCTTTATCCTGTTTTTACCTACAGATGTCGCGGGTCCGTACGTACAGACGCCATCTAAATGGATTCGGGAACTGTCAAAATAGATATTTTTGTTGAAATATGATACCCGAAATTTTTTGCGATTATAATACTTCCTTCGCACAAGGGAATAAAATATAATTTTTGTAAAAATTACCAAGTCTAATTTTTTTATGCGTCGCCCCGATTTCTATAGTTCTTATTCATAAAAATTGCGCACTCTTTTTCAAAAATAAACTATAAAAAGTGGGAATACCATTCGAGAAAAATTGACCGAGATACTATTTCATTTTAAAGTTGGATATCATATTCAGGGGTTGTTCACAAAACGGATGTGAGAAATGTTTGCATTCCTAAGTAAGAGTAAAATATCGATTTAGGAAAAAGTTTCTGGTAACAATAGATTAAGTGACGAACTATTCTGTACAGATCGTCGTGAAACGTTTTCATCAATAGAAATGTTTTCAAAAAGATCTCCTTTCCCAGAATCTTACCGAATTCGTGTTCGAGGAAAAAAAGGTAGGCTTCAAGTTTTGACATATAGCCAACTAGCAACATTGTCTGCAGGTATTGAAATGTAAAATTTTCTAGTTTAATAAATTTTACAATATATATATATTATAATATAAAGCAGTGATCTCAACCTATTTTAGCTCATGCACCTCTTTCGGCATTGCTAAAAGGTCATTCCCTCCATCGTCTTTAAAACTCGAAACATACATATATACAATAGTTACTTATATTTAAATTATTATTCAATTTGTTTTATAAATAAAACAATAAAAAATACCGAAACTTGAATGAAAGTATTTTCTTATATTCGTAAACTGAAACTAAGTACTTTGCAACTAAATAAAAGGCTGACCACCTCCTCCCTGAAACTATAAAATTGCCTTTAAGGGGGGGGGGAATTCTTCCTGATTGAGAACCCCAGTTCGGTAAAGTATTAAACAGAATGTTAACAATGTATTCTTAGGCTTTTTGAAACTTCCAAAGGCTTGTGGGAAAAGTTTTTCGGTATACCAAATGTAACAAAACTATAAATTAAGAAATTAAATCATTAGTAAATAAAAAAAAAAAAAAAAAAAGGAATATCATCGAATAGCATTAAGAAGGAAAAAATCAACCTCAAATTATTTTAATTTATTTATTAACAGTCCTCTCAAGGCAAGTTGAATAGGTTGCCAAATATTCCATACCTTGAAAATAAATTGTCCATTTCGCAGTATGGAATCATATTTTTAGCCTAAAGGTGCGTTAGACCCTATTATTCAATTATTAGTCTCAAACAGAATTTTGCGTCACTTCGCTTTCTGCGTCGATTCACTTTTCAAACCGTTGCCACAAAATATTATTGCCATGCATTATATTTAAAGAAACTAAATAATGAAGAGTCTACATGAATGCATGAATGTTTCTCACATTGTGAAAAAACAAAGGTACCTAGAACCATCAAATTTTAAATAGCATAGTCCTCCGACCGGACATGGGCACTTGGAAGCTCGAATTTCGAGTTATCTCTTTCATATTTTGTAAAACTTTTTTTTGATTAACAAACTCAACGATTTCAAAGAGAGCAATGGCAACGGGAAAAAAAAAGCACTTTTATGTCCAACGCGAGACTCTCTATCGGAAATTCTAAAGATTATGCTGTTTTTAAATATTTTTGTGATATTGCTGTTGAATTTAATTTCATGGTTTAAGTGCGAAGAACGTGATATTTAATAAATATACATATTTTATAATGAATGTAAAATTTTCCTAACTACAAAGATCGAGGAACTATATAAAAAGTTAGAGTCCGTATTTTTTAAAAATTGATTTTTTTTAAAAATATAAAAATGTAAAATAATGAAAGTTTGAAATTTAAAACATTTTTGTAATTGGAAGAATGAGTTTACATCCATTTGTTGCAGAAATAAAAGCTGAATAAGGACTTTTGCGGACGCAGTGTGTATAAGGAAATGAATAAAAATTCTGTGTTTATTTTTGAAATACAGCCTTTATTCTAACTTTTTGGAGAGCTGTTTTACTTGTTTTTCTATTGAAAATGCCGTCCATGACGTTCTACGAGTTTGTTTTATTTCTCCAATCTCTAATTCTGTAGTCAGTAGAGATGTTTCAAAAATACAGACGGTTCAGCATTTTTTGAAAGGGCGACAAAACATCGAGAGCAAATTTTATGAGCCGAAGCTGTCAGACAGATGTATGACAGACCGATGTACGACAGTAGGAGGAGCCACTGTGCACAGATGGATCCAAGACCGCAAAAGGTACAGGAAGTGCCTTCGGTGTTATCGGGGATGGAGTGATCTTGCATGAGTGGAGAAGACGATTGAACGATTATCCAACTCAGTGTATCAGGCTGAATTAACCGCATAAATACTGTGAGAAATAATTCAGACAGGAAAATAGCCATTTTTAGTGACTCTGCCTCCGGCCTGGAGGCCATAAGAGGTCATAAAAGTCGGAGTCCACAAGTGCAGGAAATTCGCCATCTGCTCTTTCAGCAACCAAAAGCTATCCGTCCCAGTCTTCATTAGGTTCCGGCACACGTTGGATCCAAGGTAACGAAGAAGCAGACAGGGTTGCAAAGTCGGCAGCAAATGAT